ATGAAAGCAAATGATAAACTCTTGCCTTTGAGAAATTTTGAAAGATATTTGAACATGAATCTACTATATTTTCGTGCGACCAACTTTAATATTACATTAGAATTTTAGAACGGTGATTCCTAGCGTTCAATCATTTCATTATAGATTATAGATATGGATTATATTAACTAAGGTTGTTCAAACAAACGAAGTCAAACATTAATCCAACGTTAACTGCGACTGCTACCTTTTGAAAGAGTGAGCACATTTCTCACGTCATGAATTTTATTGACATATTTCGTTTGACACCGTATATTCAATTTAAACCATAGCTACAACAAAACTGAATTCATCATTCGTATAAATCTGTTACTAGAATCTGTTACTGGAAAAGTGTGCGGTGTAGGGAATAGGGTTCTCATGAAGCGGGCGATACCGCCGAAATGTAGGTAGGCCACTGACGTACCAACCTCGGAAAAGCTTTATACATTCTCACGAACTATGTTGAAGGTTCATAGCGAGGTTTACAAAAAAAAAAACCGTCGATTGAAAAGCAATGTTAGTGGAATTTTTCGATGACAAAGAAAGAAATGATCCTTTCACTCGGCAAAAAGTAATTTTGCATCCAACTAAAAAACACGCAATAATTCAATCTCAGCATGCTTATATACATACAAGCACTTCGGTCAACAGTCAATGCGTATGGTTGTAATACTCTTTAAGCAATAGACAACAGTGACCATTAGCGATATGAGCCTCTTAGTACTGATCCATCCCTGGAGGAATGCACCATTAATTTGACCTTTGAAGAATTAGAAATGAGTATCTCACATATCTGGTCCATACAACGATTTGCTTAGTCTGTCGATGTATCTATCCTTCTTTCCGGAAAAGTCCGGTACCCTTTTGCTCATTTCAGAGCGACGGAATTCTTTGTAGGACCGGCACTACAAATTAAATCAGTGACTGATTGAATGTGTATCGCCGAGCACCTCTCATAACTGCGTTGAACGCGCCCTCTTGAAGTGAATACGTTTGTTTTTGCCAAAGAAACTCAACTTTCGCTCATCTTGGGTTTCGATCAAAAGTCTGCGATGATTATGACCTTGGTTCCAGAAACATTGAACAATCGTAAGAACGTCCGTCAACAGGATTGTGCGACTTGTTGCAGTCGTTATTTTTTCTTCTTCGTATGAAATACACTGAACGGAAGGAGTGCATTGGCGAGTGGAGAACACTGAAAAATCGACAGGCCAGTCATTGACAAGCCAGGCAGCCCAGCCAGTCTGTCGACTACGACAAGGGTACGACAAGTGTACTAGAAGAATTCATTCTTTTGACACGATATCATCAAACACCATAGCAACTAGTGCCAAACTCGAGAAGAAAAATTCAGAAGAAAAAAACCACAAATTTAATGAAGATGACGAGGAAAAGAAACCGTACCTAAGAAAGTAAACTAGCAAAATTGATTTCCATGTGGGGATGACATGAGAAAAGTCGAGTTGATGGATCGATCCACGTGACCACCGTTGTCAATCAACAATGAGCATTTGAACTTTCGTCACATTCAGCATTTTATAATTATTTTGGGCAGTAATGGACACAAGGTCGCCTCAACGTCGCACTGATCCGACTAAGCTTTCCCGAAACTTTTGAACAGAAAAGTCGCTACTACAGTTGCCCTGGAAAAGCTTCGTCCTATCCACAAAGGCTACTTATTGCTAGTGGTAAAAACTTGAGAACGCCATGGCGCAGATCTCTCAGTACTCCAGGGGGAATATACTCGGACAGCAGCCGATTCGAAACGCAATCAGAAGACATTCGTAGATGACTGTGGTGAGATGTCAAAGTGAATGTAAAAAGTGCTGGGATCTGCACTATACGTAAATTCAATCAACATGAATAAAAACGATACTCAAGCAAGACAAGTAATTTTTTTATCAGATTTTTCTCTGAAGTTTGATTTCTAAACAGTGCTCTTTGATCATCATCTCGTGGAACAACAATAACAATCTGTGAGAATCCATTTGATGAATGAAATTGATGTTAAATGGTGCTTACTATAAAAATAGATTAGATAAAAGAGACGCACGGATACGGTGGCGTACTTTAAAATATTCTGGCTCATTCAGTAAACACAATCAACCACGACAAACTACGCTCTAGAACAAAACACACAGGAAATACTAATTGCTGTTGACAAATAGAACAGCCAAATCCACTAGCAACATCGATAAACTCAGAATTTCAATTAATTAACAATGAATAAACGTCTAATTGTGATTTGACTAGATCGACGAACAACAGCGATTAGTTCTACTCGTTCCTTTTACCTCCTATCTTGCCAACAGTTTACCAACCCATAGTAGATGAGTGGGTTGTTAGGCCAGGCATTGAACTGGCATCATGGACAGCTGCACTTTATTGTGCCACTGAGATCATTCAAGCAGAGAAAAGACTTCGAAATATCCATCCGGAAGCAAATCAAAGCCCAAAATGCTACATTTCGCTATTTCATTGACCAAATCAGAGGGAAAAGGGCAACAAACTAGAATGGTTGGTGAGGAATTGAAATCAACTGGATTTGTGCTCGAATTATTCGGTATTCAACAAGAATGTAGTGATGTGGCTGATGTGGGTTATCTTCACTCTGACTTCATTTCCAAACATATACGGTTTTCAAGAAGATACGGTCATTCAGCGATCCACATCAATCAATACATATTGCATGTACATGGTCCTCAAAAAAGACTGCACAGTCCTATAGAAATCTTACACCTTTTTGAGGTCTGGTACGGCAGTTCGAGTGGTATACGTAGGTTTTGGTGTATTACACGCATGCCTCATCAGTACCACATTCCCTACGGCTCACTTCTACAACCAACAGCAGCGGTGCTGAAGATATTCAACCTAGACGAAGTGAAAAGATCACTTGATGTGCAGTTCAGACTGACTATCGGTCGATGGCTTACGGCTGGTAACAAAGCACATAAAGATATATCTTCCAATCAACTGTGATCGTTTCATTTCAACTACATTGAATGCATCTTCGGCGCCGCCACTATAAGTTGTATATTGCGGTGAACTGAAAGGCGTATGATACTGATGAGGTGTACTAGAACCAGAGGGTACATATACCTCTCAGAATACCATACCAGACCCCCTGAAAGGCTTGAAAAATTCGACCAGACTATATTGAATTTTGGGAAAGGTCTCAAACATAGTCGATTGGAAGGTAATGCTCTAGGATTATACATTTCCGTATTAGGGCTCAACAGCAACGATTCATTATTTTAGGCCTCAAAACGACGTTCCTACTGAGTTGGCAAGAGATTTTCGGACTTTTCGCTTTTGCTAATTATTTTCCACGGACTTACACTTTTGTTTTCACTATCTTTTAGCGTGGTTATTTCGATAAATAACACTTATGCATTCATTTTGAGATGGAATAGTCCCGAGGGCAAGAGCGATTGTTGATGCTACCGAGTATCGCATGGATTCGAGTACAGCATTGGAACGCAGCGATACTCGTGAAGCATCAACAATCGTTTTTGCTTTCGGGGCAATTGTAACTTGAAATAAATGTATAAGTGTTATATATGAAAATAACCGCAAAAAGCTGCTCTAAACGGATAGTGATAACAAAAGCTTAAATCCAGGGAAATAATCAAGAAAAACGAGAAAGTCCGAGAAATTTTTTGCCAACTCAATTCAATGAAGCGAATTTTCCACTCAGTGCGAATTGAATTTAATTGAGAGTCATGGCCGGATAAATGAGGCTAACAACATCACCGAGACTGAAGATTAATCATTTGCACGAGATAACACTAACAATGAAGCTTTGTTCGAATGGCTCTGCATTTACGAAATAAGAGAAAAACATTACTATAAAATATATAATCCTAGCTTTTTTCAAACTATAAAGTCGTTAGTAGCACAAAAATGACGTCATTCAATAGCGGAGAACTTGACGAATTTAAACGCTATACACGAAAAACACAACATTGTACCAATCATGTAGTTTAAACAGCTTCGTACAATGAGAGAAAGAGAAAGAGAGACAGAGACAGAGAGAGAAAGAGGGAGGGAGAGAGAGAGAAGGAGAAGGAGAGATGAGAGAGAGAGAGAGAAAGGGAATCAACTGATGAATGAGTGGTGTAAAAGAGACGGACGATATAAAAGGTCACTGAAGACCATAAGGAGGCACCACTGAGCGGCGGTCCCGCCACGAATCTCTTACAGTCAGTTGCCACAGAACTGCGCAGGATAACGACCTTACGAGGCATTCTCACACGTTCACAGCGAGTCAAAGATGCATTTTGATGAGAGGAAAACAAATTGCAATTAGTAATGTTAAAAGCAACAACGTCCGCCCGTCGGTCGGTCCGAGCCATCGACCGACAAACACTCGACTCGTCGATGGGTATTGCGTGCGAATTTCGTCTCTCAGCTGCTTAAACACTGAAAATATTCACCCGACCGAGCAGCAGACGACCTTCGAACGTCGTCGCCACACAACATCGTGGATATCGATCACCGTGACAGGGAGAGAGAGATGAGCAGGAGTGAAATCCTCCGGGAAGCGAATTTTCTTTCGTGGATGGGGAAGTGGGAGGTGGACGGACGGAAGGACGACGGGCAGACGCTGACAACGGCCCGACCACGACGACGACGACGACGCCGCCGACGTGGTGAGTGCAGTCAGAGCGCCGACGACCAGCGTAGTGAGCTAGAGAGCGTGTACTTGCATGCCATTCGACAGAGACAAAGGCATGCACCTGAGCGCGGCACTCGCCAAGGACGCAGGGTAGCGCGTTAAGCGAGCAAAGAACACAATTGCCAGCCGTCAGTTGGACTCCTCTGCGCCCTGCGCCTCAGTGAAACTTGACGGAGTTCGCCTGTGCGTTTTCTGTTGACGATGGCGATGATTGAAGGCGATGACGTCATTGGGGAATTCATGACGTAAGGGATTCGAAACTTGTTTCAAATGGATGTAGTCGAAAACCCATTGAAATATAGCTGATGTAGTGCAATGGTTAGCACTTGTCCCCGGGAATGGTGAAATGCGGGTTCGAATCCCGTCCAACGGTCGAGGTTTTGTGTCTAATTCAACAACACTAGATGTAGGTATATATATGTGCACATACATAAGAGTATATACACATATATATGTGTACATTAATATATGCAGTATTGATACATACATGTATAAGTACATTTATGTATGCATATATATATGTATATATATAAAAGGATAAAGGATAAAGCTCTCGGCGTTGATCAATCCCTGAGGGATGCGCCATGCATTCGACTTCAAATTTCAACTTCGTTTGATGTGTTTGAATGCATATCTGGCCTTTTACAATGACTCGCGGTGGCCTCAGGCTGAACCGAGTCAGTGCTGCTTATCCTCCCAGACAAGTCTGAGGCCTGTCTGGTACCAATTTACCTACCTCGGTGGGATGGATGGCTTGGTGAGCCATGAGCGCGAGATCGAACCATTGACCTCGTGTGCGACGCAGAGCACCTCTAATCACTGCGCCACACGCGCTCATATATATATATATATATATATATATATATATGTATATATATGTATATATATATGTAACATCATACCACTGGTAAAAGTGGTAGACAAAAAGAATTCTGGTTGATAGTATATACCTTACTGATGAAACTTGTAGCGTGAGGTCCTTAATTTTGAGTTGGCAGGAAACTTTCCAGACTTTTCTGTTTTTGTTCATTATTTTTCGTGCATTCAGGTCTTTGTTTTTACTGTCGTTTAGAGCAGCTCCTTATGGTTATTTTGATATACAACCCTTATATATTTGTTTTAAGATAAAATTTTCGCGAGAGGAAAAACGATTGTTGATGTCAGACGAGCATCTCCGGGTTTAAGGGCTGCTGAGACTTTACGCCGGATTGACAAGGTCTGGGCTGAAAGATATCAAGGGTTTTTCCGCCGCGGAATTATGAAATTTCCGGAAAGTGAGAGGAAGTGATTGAAATTGAAGGAAATAGTTTGACTAATCATTTGTCGCTGTAGTCTGTTGAAAAGCGGGATCAACTAGCTCAAAAATTTTGTTCGGCTAACATTCTCGATGCGTTTCATCCTCATAATCGGTCATTCACTTTCAATTTCGTTGTGGATTTTCGCTTTCGCTTCGCTCGAGACGAAGTTCTTCGGTGGAGCACCGCTCGAATGAAGTGTATCATCACTGGGCGAGCTTATATGCAGAACGGATCTTATGCTAATTGGCTATCTGATTTACTAATTAGCTAGTCACTCGTTGATAGTGATGACACTTGTTTTCTCTGGACGATCTATTCTATAGGAAGCGGTACTGTTAAGGGCTCGCACAGGGCGCCATAATCTAATGTAAAACGACTTTCCTCTAACTTCGGCATAACGAATCAATCAATTCAACATGCTAAAGTGGTTTTTCTCTCGGGAATGTAAGCCGAGCTCAGACATAAAACGGGATGATTGGATGCATAAACGAGGTTCTTCCTCTTTTTATGTCGCGCGGCCGACTCATATTGATGTCTTCGGAAATATGAGCGAACATTCTCAGCAAAAAAATACCGTAATCAAAAAGTTTATTAGTGATATAAAAGATTATTGAGCGAACTCGGTGTTTTATTAGTGCAAGATATTTATACTTGTGTGTAGGTTTTCCTTTCCAGTCACATGACCCGTCAGTCATCACATATGATGCGGCCACTTCTTGCACTCGATCCGTCTCCTCGAAGTCATTCTCCACAATGGTCTTCGAACATTTCGCGTGTCGTTTTGCCTGCTGCTTGAGCACTTCGTCTTCTTCATGATTGTCGTCGAATGCTGGTTGAGACAATTCCGCTTGTGATCCCAGGGATAGATGAGCTATGGCGTCCCCATGTAGGCTTGCGAGAGAACACTGAAGGGAGGGCCGAACTTAGCTTCCTAATAGCGTGCATCATTGTCACTGCGCCATCCATCCCGCGTAAGTATTCTAACAAGTGAAATGACATCATTTTTTTCTGAGGTTTGCTAATATTTCTAGTATAGGCCCCTTGGAGGTTTTTTTTTTTGTAAATTGAATAGCTTTTTTTCTGAATCTCTTTTTGAAATGAAGTCTTTTTGAAATCTCTTAAATTTTTAGCGGTTTGCAGAGGTCCATGATTTCTTTGAATATATTCCATATCTATTCTAATCTGATCCGTAAAGCGAGTGGAGGATTTGAGAACTTGACAGTTTCCTCAATAGCCAATGATCCTTCTTAAAGCAGAAGATTGCACAAATTCGCTTTCTGCAATACATTTCTTGTGAGAAGTCCCATGGATATGAAAATATGGATTGGAGTTTTAGTTATTCTATCGATTTGAATGATTTCGATAATGTGAGAGGGTACTGCGCTCAATTTTTTACATTTTACTGATCATTTAGCGCGAAGGCAATGTTGTATGCATGAGATAAACAGGTGTGGGATACGGCACACCGCTGTTATGGTCAGACCTCTGGCCTTCGCCATCGTCTTCAGTAAGGGTCAATTCAGACCTGAATCTGAAAATGATGAGATCGGGCGATGATTCCAGGTGAATTACAACGCACGGTTTGTGGAGGATCGCAACTCCTCCATTAAGCCCGAGTCTGAATCGGATTCAATACGTACATCGAGTGCAGGAGATAGCAATGGTTCGGCCACTTTGTCATTCATGAGTGGGGAAACTCTTCTTTTTTCTTTTTTTTTTTCAAAACATAGTACGAGACGAAAGATAGTTTATACGAATAGTGGGCAGAAGCCACCGGCTTGCAACTGACCAATCAATATAATATGAATTTAGTGGCCTTTCAATATTGTTGAGTGATATGCAGAACTTTAAATGTCGAAAGGGATTCGAACGCACATTTCGACTTTTCCGGGGACGCATGCTAACCATTGCACTAACGAAGCTTGTTCTGTCACTACTCTTGCTGCGACGTTGACGGTTGATTGTTGACAGATCGATACAAATGTGTTACAGAAAGAATGATAGCAGAATGAGCGCGATAGCGCGATGGTTACTATGTGCCTCTGGAAAGGGTAAAATGCGTGTTTGAATCCCTTCCGACGTTCAAAATTGCTCATCTCTCAACAATATTGGATATAATTTGTAACATCATATCACCATTAAAAGCTTCAAAAAGATTTCTAGTTAATAATAATAGTGGTTTCAATCAGGTAAACGGTGGATAAGATGGCGAGAGTGAAATCCTTCCTTAGCTGAAGAGATGATAAAAGTGCACTCACTAGTTGGATTAGACCTATGTAGCGTAGTGAAAAGTGTGCAAGACAGTTGAGTTGAGTGCCTCGAAAAGCGAGATGTGTAGCACTTACGGCAGCGTCGTTTAGAGAACACCCTTCTAACACATGATCTAACAAATCATCGATACAGTTGCTTAATAACAACAATAATTACCAGTAAATCAGAAAATGGGCGGTTGTGCGCATTACAGCAATCATTGATGTTTGAAACTGTCCAGACCATTACTTTGTGGGCTCCCAGATATTGATGAAATATCAAAAACAAGTGTAAACAGAGAAAAGGGAATGTGCTCACCTTAAAATTGAATAGTTTAGATCGGTCTGCACTGGAAAGTAGGCGCTTGCGTATATTTCTTTACAGAATTTCGCTATAGCTATTTTTCTTTACTCTTGAATTCTTTATTTCTTTCACGTTAGTAAGGTGGGTTTTCTTTAAGAGTCATTAGAAATTTAGAAAGTGCTCGTATTATCCGTCCTTTTTTTCAAAAAAAATAATCTGCCCTTATCCATAAAACTTCGGAAATTTCAGGTGTCAGTGAAATTTGTCCACACTCTTTTCATCCTCCTATTGGTAGGTTCGTATTCCAACTGAGACTAATGCTTTCACAGAATACATTTCAGAATACTCAGTCCTAATGGCCGTCAAGTAAAACTCTGTGATCAAGTTCAGTTTTTTTAACCTGATGGTTACTGGAGTCGTCCCATCATTTTGGTGTTTATCGTAATATGAGCCTCACATGTTTATACTGTCTACAGTGTTCAAAAAAAAAGAGAAACCAATTTCCAAAATTAAGATTTATTAACCAGTTTCGATCCAACAAGCAACTCTGATCACCTTCACTCTTCATTTACCACTTCAGACTTTTCACTGATAGCTGGAATGATACTATAATGCGGCAAAATCATCATTCACAGACGATGGACAACTAAAGAAATTCATTGCTCTAATTTCATCTCCAAGTTTTTAACTATATATAAATATAAATGTCTATGTTTAATTACATACATATGCACACATGTACGTATATACCATGCTCGTGTTCACATTACGTGTACGAATGCATATACAGCTACATATGTGTACAAATATGCATACATTTACATAAATTTATGAGCGAATATATATATATATATACATATATATATATGCATGCATATACGGGTATTAAGGCAAACGACGACTACGAAGATATTACTAAAAAATTGTAAGGCAGCACCTTTGAATTATACGCCTTAAGTTGCAAATTAACGATTACACAACTACACAGATTCAATGTGTTTCGTCTGAGGAAGTGCGATTGCTTTAAGTGTGCTTAATCACCAAAAGACGACTCGTATTATAAAGTCCAGTAATAAATTCTCACTGTTTATAGAGTAAAATAAAAGATGAAAGCGAAGCAGATGTTTGTCCAGTGTCAAAGACAATTGTGTCGACTCACAAGAAATCTTTCCACCTCAAATGACATTCCTCAATTGTCAGCCAAACTGTCATAGAAAGGTCATCATCATCAATTGAGCGATCTTCTACTAGTTGGAGGGAGTTATTCATTGTGACTATGGACTAGGAAAAGGAAATAAGATTGGAATTCATTTGACAGAACTTCTTTTCGCAGAGTGCTTCACCCATCAAAATTCTTCTTCCCGAAAGAAAGAAAGAGTCCGCGAATCATTCAACGGCACAATACATACTGAGACCGACCAACTTTTTACAAACAGAAGGCAACGCCTATTCGACTCATTGGTTGTTGGGTTCGACCACCGCTTTCTCCTTCCCACAGTGATTCGATTGAGCCACAAACTAGA